GCAAATATGTAGGAGAAAATGGAAATTGATTAGATTCATGCTGAGGAGACCGTCAAGTGATGTTGCGCTTTAGCCAGGCCATCACTCGAGTGGAATCCGATTGGGAAACGACGAGTGGTTTGTGTGAAGGGGAGATAAGAGACTATGGGAAATCGTGAGGCTACATAAAGTGAACAGCAGAAGATAGGTTGAAGTGGAGATTTGTTGCGGAAGCATTCCATTTTCCACTCGGAAGCCAAGAGAGAAATACTTCTCAGCATCGGTTACTACGAAGAAGTCTGAGTAGTTTGTAGAGGTTATCACTGTGGAACAGGCCAGGGACAACTGTGTACGCACACACACACATATCAGTGCAATCTTGGGTTGATTACCAAGTACAGTTGGGTTATTTTTCCCCCAATTAAACACATTTCCCCCCTTCAAAAGTAAGTTTATCAAGTTGAAAGGGCTCATCATCAAGTTTAGTTTCTCTGTATGCATCTATTTTTTTCTTTGCTTGTTTCTCCTTCGTCTTCTTGTTCCACCTCTTGAGAGATAAATGTATTTATTCTACACTGATGAAAATTGAAGTTTGTCAGTTCGCTTGTATGTGCGTGTGCGTGTGTGTATAGCTGTGTAAATGCTTGTGTTTCACTAATCCCTAGTTATTAATGTTACAGTGGAAATGTACAAATCTGTTGTTGTATACTTTTGTTTATGAATATGATTTCACGAATGTCAAATTGTATTTATACATCTACTTAAAATAAATATCTAAAAGGTCAATCTGTCGAATCAAGATGTGTGCGTTAAGCATTGGTAATAAAATAATTTATGTAAATACTAAATGTGTAAATATATATATATGAATATATATGCGCTGATACCAACAAGTGGATACAACGCATAGGTGATTACTCTTCACTATGAAAGATATTCCTGTATGCTTACATCAATACATGTGTGTAGAAATTCACCTTTTTTAAAATATATATTATATATTTTATATACCTACGTGTACACATGCGCAGGTGTGTTGGTGTTTGTGCATGTTGGTGTGTGTGTGTGTGTGTGCGTGTACGTGTGCCAGTTAGTGTGTACAGTGTGCAATATGCTTTCTGGTATTGTACGAAAAGAGGTTAATAAAATAATTAGCTTTTGCAATAATTAGGTAGCGCACTCTGAAGCGAAAAAAAACAGAAAAAAAATGTTTGTGTATTGCTTGTTTCATATCTCATTTATTCCGGTATCAATTGCTAAAGGTAGGTAGTGGTAGATAGGTGGATAGTGGTAGTTGCTTTTCACTCAATTCATATTTGCTGTGAATACTATTTCGTCTGTCGGCCGGCACTTAGTATTCAATGTTAATATAAGATAGTCATAACCAAAAACAATAATTTGTAAAGTTAGTTAGTTAACACCTTGCGAACAGTTTAGTAGGGCAAACTAAAGTTAGGCAGTTTAATGAAGTTCGCCGAAACGGTGGCGTATCGAGAGCAAATTCGAAGAATGTCTAGTGTTGCATCTCTTCGTCTCACCTACTCTGCACATGCTCACATTCACCAAAAAAGGTCAGTGTGTATCTACCGATTCACCTGATTCTGTGAAGCTAAGTAGATAGGCTGTACCAGAAGGACATTCTCCAGACGTGCCAATGAACACTTATTAGTATGGTTGTCAAAAGGGTAAAGTGCAACTGTCTACAACTCAAATCTGGTCACGTAGCATCAGCAGAGACTTCTTTCAGAGTCATATATAAAGTGCAACCGAGTCGTTCGGAAAGATTTCGCCTACAACTTTAAGAAGAAACCTGATGTTTGTGTTCAGAAAAGTTTCATCCAGCCTCTTTTACCACCATAGCCTTAGCAGCATATTTTTTAAAATTTTTTCTCTTCCCTCTTCGTCTTCTTTAACAACTGTATAATAAGCTCTCTGTAGTCTGTCTTACGTGTGTCGGTGGTACACTAGTAGAATTCTCGCCAACCACGTCGCATGTAGTCCGGGCTTCGATCCCCGGCTGTTGCACTCCTAAACTTTTTGCTAAGCCAGTAATAAGACTGGTAAAAAGAGAAGATTGGGCATGAGGCTAGCAACCCCATCTCGTTAAAGTAAACACCACTGCTACCGAAACTTCAAGCCTCCAGCTTGAATCCCTATGTTCCACTAGGAACGCAAAGGAATACCATAAATAATTAATAAATAAGTCTGTCTTATGTTTTTTCCAACTCATTTACAATCTTTCGTTATCTAGTCTCTTATCACCTATTTCCAAACGAGTATTCATCACTCAGCTGCTTAGTTTTCAACCCTCTCGATTACTTAAGACCATTCCTAATTTCTCAAAAAATAGTTATTATTCATGCACTTTTATTCGCTTTGTTGCTAACTGACAATAAACCTTGACCTCTATTGTCAAACTACACTACATAAATATATAAACCCCCTATGTAGCTGTGCAGCTCTGAAATGCGGTAATGAAAAGAGATCTCTTTGCCAACTCATGTGTATGCTTAGTTGTATATTATTATTATTGTTTCCTTCAATTCCTAGAGGAACATAGGGCTTCAGCCGTGCGTCTCCATTGCGTTCGGTTCTCTGCTAGAGTTTTCACCTGACTCCAAGTCTGCCCACACGTTTTCATCTCCTCTTCACATGACCTCCTCCAAGTCACCCTTGCACTGACGACCAACTCGCCGCTTCCCTTTCGGGTTCCACTCGAGCAATGGCTTGTCTAGTGATGTCACTTGATGGTTTCCTCAGAGTATGGCCAATCCATCTCCATTTCTTCCTGCCTATTTGTTTCACAATCGGTTCCTGGTTGGTTCGCTCATTGCCAGAGATCCCTGTCGCTGATCTTTTCTTTCCGGCCATCTGATCTTGAGTATTGAGCGAAGACAGCTGTTGATGAAGGTCTGTAGTTTGTTTGAGATGCTCTTTATGACGCGCTGGCCAAGTCTCTGATCCGTATAGTAGGTAGCACTGACTTCACATTGGAGTTGAAAATCCGGATCTTATTTTTGATGCTGAGTGTTGTTGACCTCCACACAGACTTGAGAGTAGTGAAAGCTTGTCTTGCTTTTCCGATTCTTGCTTTGATATCCTCGTCAGTTCCGCCTGTAGTTGAAACGATGCTTCCAAGTTAGGTAGGTAAAAGAGGTTGTTTCTTTCAGGTTCCTCCCATTTATGCTGATCGTTGTCTGTTGTTGTTGTTCTTGTCCAGGAATCTTCATTGCCTCTGTTTTCTCTATGTTTACCTGAAGTCCTATCTTTCATGCTTCTTCTGCCAACTTGTTGCTTTTCACTTGCATATCTTCCAGTTTGTGGCAGATCAGACATATATCATCGGCGAAGTCTAGATCCTCCAATTTTTTGTGTGTGTCCATTTTATGCCTGTTTCCTCATTGCCCGCTGTTTGTCGCATTATGCAGTCTACTGCAATCAGGAAAATCATTGACGATAGTAAGCAGCCAGCTTGTCTTACTCTTGTCCTCACTTCGAAAGATTCCATGAGTTTCCCACTGTGGATTACTTGGCATGCAGCATTGTCGTAAATCTGTTGGATGAGATGTATAATTGTGGGTGGCACACCATAGTAGCGAAGTAGTTGCCAAAGCGCCTCTCGATTGACGCTGTCAAAGGCCTTTTCAAAGTCGATGAAGTTGAGATAGAGAGGTGACTGCCATTCCAAGCTTTGTTCAATGATGATACGTAATGTGGCGATCTGATCAATGCATGACTTGTTTCTCCTGAATCCAGCCTGTTCCAGTCGAAGTTTTTCATCCAGGTTGGCATGTTTGATTCTCTCCAGGATGATGCGGCTTAGTATTTTGCTTGGGATGGACAGGAGCATAATTCCGCGCCAGTTCTTGCATTGACTTAAGTCTCCTTTCTTTGGTAGTTTGAATAAGTATCCTTTCGCATGCTTAGTTGTGCAAGAGGAGAATTCGTGTTTGTCGAAGAAAAATAGAATATACCATGCTGATAGTTACTATTGACATCAGTATCAACAAATCCAATTCGTTATCACTAAATTATATGCTTAAACGTGAGAGTTCACCACAGATCAAAATACGTGTGATCTATTTGACACCATAAATAGTAGTCAGAATAAAATGGTGGGATTCACTACTGATTTATATCAGTAGTTGAAAACTACCCAGACCCGAGTCGTCAATAGAGCGAAAAGTCATTTCGCTCAGTTCAAGGTAGGCTAATCAACTGTGTACCCAGCTCGGCTCAGCTCAGCTCAGGTAATGGAATCGTTTTAAACCACTGAACGAATTTGTAATACACAGAATAAAATTCACTATAAATAAATTGCAGGCCTGAGTTTATTCGAACTACTCATTCTCATATGCCATCACGAGAATTGGCGTGATGTATGGACAGATATGGTTAGAAAATTTGTCTTTCTTATACTTCACTTGAATCTCTACTGGTTTTGGTCCTTGTGTGAAAAGTATCCACATGAAAACTTTTCTTAAATTTAATGGATGAATGCTTTTTTATCCCTTTGCGCTTCGGCTGGAACATAGGGCTTCAAGCTGGAACTGGTAGTTCTTATGGGATGGGGTTGTTAGCCTCACACTCAACTTTTCTTCTTTGTTGGGCTTACAACTGGCCATGCGGGGGCAGGTAAAGTTGTGCTGTGAGTGGAAGTGGGATCTCGGACCGCGTGCATGGTCGATGCAAGTCTAGACTGTGTATTTCTTCAAAGCATAAGTACTAAAATAGAAAAATTCAGCACATGCTACAACCGAGACAAGTTAGAACCTACAGAAATACAAAAGTTGAAATGTCAACGAAAAAGGTTGATACTAAAAGGCGATATGAACACTAACAGTTAGTGCTTAGGTGAACTGGGATTTCCATTTATTAATAGAGACAGTCATGGAGTGTGTCGCATTTCAATTTCTTTTTTATTTTTATTTCCCAAGCAGATCTCAGAGATTTATTTTTTATTTAAAAATTGTAATTATGCGTAAAGAATCAATAAGTAAATTGTTTTGCTTTAAACCTACCGCGACTTTTGAATAATCCCGCGGCCTGTTTTAATTTTCCATGGATTTTTTATTTCTGTTTGATTAACGAACCAAGAGATAATCGGCGTAGGTCGACCAAGTACACTGCACGTTAGTAATAAATCATTCCCTTCATTGACGTGCAATACATCTTTATGGTGTAATGCACCCATGTAAAGTGGGTCAGCTGAAGCAGGGAAAAAAGAAAACAGGTAAAGACTGTTAAGAGAGCTTTATCACAAGTCATTTGTGAGGTGAAATACTTTAAAAAGATACAATAAATAAGTGTCGGAATAATCTTTCTGATATTTTGCTCAACAAAGTTAGTATTCCAGCATGACTTACTCGTTCTGCACTGAAAACAAACATTATTATTAATATTGTCACTATTACTATTATTTTATTTCGCATTTACCTTCACATTTCTACTCTGTGTTATTTTATCTTCAGCAAGCAGGTATGAATATTAGCAGGACTTAAGAAAGTGATTTTAGGATGACATAAATTTATGATTCTGAGACTGTCTGGCAAGAAATCAAGGATCAAACATACAGAGATGACCACTTGCGATTTATACTTTCTATGATCAGCTCACCTCAGCAAAAAGTTGCAAAGAAGGTGGAATGCACACGTTAACAGCTGGCCATGTTCACTTTGAAAGGTTTATTTCATTTAGCCGAAAAGTCTGAACCACATGAACGTTTCAAATAAGTTCATGGTATCATTTGATGCAACCTCCTTGTTCACAAGCATCCCAATAAATGAAACTATCGATATAATTTGTCAACATTCTGATATTCTCCTACTGCCAGTTTCCGAATCCGAAAGCCTATTGCTAATGTGTGCCATGGGTGCACAATTCCAGTTTGATAACACTTTTTATAGCCAAATAGATGGTGTCCACTTAGGCCTGTTTTACCCAGTGAAAGCCATGCGTCCTACCTACTCGGATTATTCAGCGAATGACATACAAACATTGAATTCATTAAGGAACATAAAAGCGGTGGTAAGTTTCATTTCCTTGATATCACCATCCAGTGATTGGAAGATGGAAGTCTCCAGAAGTCCAAATGGCTATAAACGAGTACTGGTCAAAACTCTATTTTACAGAGTTGTGAGAATTTGCTCAATAGAAAAATTAGACAGAGAATTTCCGACTTTCGAAAAGATGTGTAAAAAACAACGGCTACTCTCAGAAATTCATTGATAAGTGCAGAAGGTGTGAAAGCTTAAATGCCAAATAAACTACAGTGGGAAAGAAGCCTACCTTCATTCAACTTGATTTTAAGGATGGTAATATTGCAGAAATAGGCAACAGAAGATTAAATACGTCACTAGCAACAACCAACCCTGCAGCTATGTTGGTTCCTGTTTACCAGACAACATGCTCTTTGGTGCAGTAAAAGGTTAACATATACCCTTCTCATTGTTAACTCTAACTGTGTATACAAATTTACATGCATCTGCAGTAGTAGTTACATTGGGAGAACAGAAAGGAGGGCATACTATCGATTTTCTGGACATGTACCAAAAGGCCTACATCTCAAAGGAACAAACGTTTACAATAGTGCCATCTCATCAATAGAGGTCACGAGGTGGACATCACGAAATCCCTTGAAATTATCGATAGAAGAAACAGTTCAGATCTCCTCAGATTTTCCGAATCAGTGGCAGCCAAATGCCTGAAAATCGATTTACGTGTACAGAAATAAGTAGTTATCACTCTTGCCTTGCTCTGGTGACTCGGTGCCTTTACATTTTCTTTCGTATATTTACACAATCTTTTATTTTAACCTCTACTGCCTTTGATGTAGTGTGGTTTTGCTTGTCTCTTGCTTCCAAGTGATTTGAGTTGAACTGAGAACATTCTTACTCAATTTACTAGTTACTCATCATCTTATTCACTTCTTGTCCTTATTAGGTAACTCTTTTACCATTGTATCTAAGCACTTAGTTTTCAACTTTATGAGTATAAGAAATATGAGTTAAATTTCTAAGAACTGTTTACTAACTTCAGAGTCTCTTGTCAACTGATATCGTGTCATATTGGCAAGTATTTTAGACCTGTTCTGTAAAAAAACTTAATAATTTCTTTAGACTGTACACAGATGATTAGAAACCAACGAAATAAATGACAGTGCCATATTATTCTGCACAGACTCTTGTTCTTACTTGATCCAAATTCATAAAAGGGAATAAGTGCATGAGACCAAAACTCTCAGTCAGCGAGAAAATGCAGGCCATAAAAGAAGAGGAGAAAAGGAAAAATTACCAAGTTTAAAGTGTTTTTCATCCAAGGCATGTTGCTATTCACACAAGATGTGATGCGGAAGTAGAAAATACCAAAATAAGTGGTAAATAATAATAATTTGCTTTATTCCAGAAACAGTACTAGTGGTACAGTGTGGAATTTTCAGCACTTATCTACAATATTTGCATCTAATTTTACAAACATTTAAAAGGAGTATTAAACAAACAAAAATAATCTAAAGACACCAACAGCAAAAAATAAGAAAACAACCACAACTAATAATTACATGATGGTTAATGACAGAAATTGTAATATCATAGTGCTATAGAGTCGGAACCAGTGGATACACAATAGAAGGAATATAGTAAAGTACAAAAAAGGAAGCCAATGTTAATATTTTAGGTAGCTAAGTATGTTTGAGAAGGAGTTCACTATAGAATACAAAATAAGAGAGAAATAAAAGAGCCTAAAATTATGTTTTAACAACATAATTTTAGGCTCTTTTATTTCTCTCTTATTTTGTATTCTATAGTGAACTCCTTCTCAAACATACTTAGCTACCTAAATGCTCTTCAGTACTTTGTATGTCTCGCAGGTTGCTTGCATTTGTGATAGGCTTAAATATTTTATAATTAGCTCATCAGTTATTTGAATGTGAGTGGAAAAATCCCCCAGCACCTAAATGGTTTGCAGGTATTCCTGAAAATGTCAAAACGTATACACTTGTTGTTTTAGTTATTTCCCAAAGGTGCCTCCTTCTGGTGGTCACATGGATATAAATATTTGCATATAAACTGATCGGGATTACTCGACAGTTAATTAGTCGTCACAGCTGATGTCTGTCTGTAAATTGTCGGTTTTCCAGTGTTTAATCCCGTCGAGATATACCGGTGAAACCGTATAGTTTCTCGTTTGCTTTTGTTTGTTTCGGGGTAATTATCGTTAACCAACTAATTAGTGCGCATATTTCCAGTCTGTCCTGTGGTTTTCTGTCAGTGAGTTATACGATTTTTACAGCAAAAAAATTGCTGATAACGATAAAAGTCTGGCATTCAGTTCACTGTTACTAATGTCCTGTTAAATTAAGTCATCAATTTATCTACTTACTGTCTTGATGAAGTGGAATTTGTATGCTATCCACGTGCGCGCACACACGCACACACACACATACGCACATAGACGTACGCATACAAGTACACAGATACATTTAGAATTAGCATGCATATAGGGATGGGTAAGATACTGTTACAGCTGTTGATGATGATTATGATGATGATACTGGGTGTTGCTCACAATGTAGGTATTGATTCCTCAACTAGACAGCAGCGAATATGAAGAGAGAGAAAACGTCGAACAAAAACTGAAAGAGGAATGCCATTAATTACAACAATGATGATGATAATAATTATTATTATTATTCTCGTTATCATCATCATTATTATTATGCATATTAATTTATGAACCATAAATTTAGTTAGAGGGCCATAAAAAGTCTAGCTCACAGTGGAACGAGTAGAGAGATAATGTAATGCGATTCTTTTATTCTATTTTCTCCTTCATTTTTTTCTTATCTACTGTTTGTATTCATGCATCCATCCCCTCGCTTTTATTGTTTGCTATAAATAATTGTTTTGGGAGTAGTGAAGAAGAGAGAAGAGTAAACAAACGGTCTAACAACAGTCTCTTATTGAATCAACCCGTCTGTGTTTGTGTGGTAATGTTAGACCGATAGTCAGTCCACTTGATAGGTAGGGGGACACAACCCGCGATGATTACTGTCAGAGGATGGATGATCTGTTCGACAGCTGGATAGAAACGCCTCAACTATAGGTCACACAGTTGGGATAATTATCCGCTCACCGCTAGTTTGAATCTTACTAGAACTCGAAAGTTTCATTTCACTGTCAAGATACCATCTGTTACATAAATATCCAGTTGTTGTTTTCTTCAATCTAAAGCCATCTCAGATATTTTATTACCTGTGCGTTCCGAGTGGAAAATATGTGAAGTTTCACTAGCAGTGGTGTCTCTGTTTCACGGGGCTGAGGTGGTCAGCCTCACACTCATCCTTCCCTCTTTGCCAGAATCACTAACGGCTTAAAGATGTTTAGAAGTACGTCGGCGCTGAGAGTCGAAGCCCAGACCCCATGTGCCATGTGGTTGGCGAGCAGTCTACTGATGAACCACCACCAACGCATAAATAGTCTCACTATCAAGTAACAATCTGTGTGCTATTGCATATTTCTTCACTTGGACTGTGTATGCAGATGAAGTGAGAATCTAATCGGTATCATTGTTATTATCACGAGAATGCGATCACTTGTTCGCCTAAAATTCTTTCACTTGGCTGGATCAAGTTTTTGATGGTTAATCCAGCTAGCATCAGCTGATTAAATCAGTTATGATGACTTTCCCACCAGATCTCCTTTGCCAGTTTGCATTATGGATTGTTTAAATTACAGCCTACAGTAATTCAATTTCATCAAAAATTGACATAAGTAGGAAAATCATTGCCAGTCGTCGAGCAGTGGACATTCCTTTCGTACCAATGTAAAGCTCCCCAAGTAATGCACACCTATCATGGAGTCAAAGATGGACTGATAGAGTCAGTCAACGCCAGTGTGAGGTAAAGTAACCATAATATCGGGTGACTGTGTCTATAAATCAAAATAAATCACAAAGGTTAGTACTTATGAGTTATTATAGTGACTGAATGCGCTGAAGTCGTAACCCAAAGGTCTTGAATAGTAAGGATCTCTGGGGTGGCCATCGGTGTATACTCACGAAAAGTCACAGACTGGGGCAAAGTAGCTGCCCAGTGTTTTCTGCCTTTCAGTGATCCTCTAATTGTTATCGATTAAATTAGTGAAAACTGTATTTCAGTCTTTTTTCATCGGAATTACTCAGACAGTCTGAACAAAATCTTTGTATGAATT